ATTCACAAGTACCTCAAAGTGTCTTTAAGTTACAGCTTGCTGCAGTTTTTCTCTATTTAAATAATATTGTTCTTTTGTTCTCCCTTCCAAAATGAACTTCACATTTTCCCATACTGTACTCCATTTGCCGACATTTTGCCCACTTAACCCAATCAATATTTCTCTATAATTTGTTTGTATCCCTATCACAACTTGCCTTTCCACCTATTTTTATGTCATCTGCAAGTTTGGCTACAGTACATTTTCTTCCTTCCTCCAAGTCATTGAAATACATTATACACAGTTACAATCCAAGCACCAATGTAGAACCCCTCTGATTACAGGTTGCCAAGCTGAAAAAGAATCCCTTATCCCCACTTGCAGTTTCCTGCCCATTAGCCAATTCTCTAACCATGCTAATACACTACCTCCAATACTGTGGGCTCTTATTTTATGACTTAACCTTTGTGAAGTACCTTGTTGAATGCCTTCTGCAAGTCTAAATATAACATATTTACTGGTTCCCCTCTATCCAGTCTGGTTGAGACTTCCTCGAAAAGCTCAAACAGTCAGACCACAAAGGCATGTTGACTCTGCTTGATTAGATTATGATTTTCCACATTTGTTCCTATTACTTCCTTAATAACTGATTCCAATACTTTTCTAACAATAGATATCACACCGATTGATCTTAGTTACCCGTTTGTTGCCTTCCTCCCTTTTTGAATAGGGGTGTCATATTGGCAGTTCTCCAATCCTCCAGTACTTCTCTGCAACCAATGCATTGACTATCTATCTCTATCTTCCCTATCTTTATTTCTTATCCTCTAATATAATATTGCAAAGAGTGACACAGCCTCTACTCTGATCTTTGACCCTGTTTAAGACCTGATTGAGGATGAGGATCTGTTCAAAAACTGTCAATAGAAAACCACTCTATTTGGAGATAGCCTACTTGTTTTCTCTTTCCATATATTCTGAACTGCTGAACAAAGGAAATCAAGCTAAAACCTAACCCCTCTGCAATTAGCTTTGTATTTACCTTTTGTTTTGTAACTGTTTATTCCTATGGAAACTGCAAGTCACATGGTGCATTTCTTGAAGCCTGATGATGTCATATTCAGGAAACCAATTAACTCTCTTTCAAAATACAAAGTGTCAGCAAACAGTCCTCAAAATATTCCTCTTAAAAGGGACTTCACAAAATAAAATACAGGCTTTTCCCAGCACACAAGTCATCATAAGATAGAAAGATAATTTAGAATCTCTGTCCTCATATTCTATCCCAAAGCCAATTTTCCTTTACTACCTTTCTTCCTGCCTCAAAAGCTTTCAACCATACTTTTCAGAAACCTCCACCTCCAAAATCCTTCCCTTATTAAATGTTGCCCACTCTTTCCACTGCACAGCAATTTGAAACATTATCTATGTGAGAATTATTAAACAGATGCACAACTTTGTTCTGAAACATTTCTGATGAAGGGTCTAGGCCCGAAACGTCAGCCTTTCTGCTCCTATGATGCTGCTTGGCCTGCTGTGTTCATCCAGCTCTGCACCTTGTTGTCTCGGATTCTCCAGCATCTGCAGTTCCTACTATCTCTGATTCAATTTTAACCCCACTGTGGCCAGATATGCTGAGTTTCTCCAGTATTCTCTGTGATTTTTTGCGCATTTTTAGTGTTGAACTGTCAAACTTTTGTGACATGTTCTGAAAAGAAAGACAATGAGTTACTGACTTAAACAAAAGTTAAAAGGCTTTTGAGAATGATTCTTAAAGGGTGGTATGCCTAGTTCCAATCAATCCAAGAGAGAAAAAAATATAATTTGTTTTACTCTCTGCCCCAAACTCCTCAGCAGTCACATCTATCTCCTTTACTTAAATGATGACTGGCAGCAGAAATTCTGATGCTTTTGAGGCCTTCTGCTTAAATTACAATACTAACGTCATTCCATTCAGAGTACTTTTCTCAGCAGGCAGCTCTGTCTTTGAAGAGGCAATTTCAGTATACTACAAAGTCAGAGATCAAGCATCATCAGAGCTGGAAAGTTAAAGGCCTGACTCCCAACACTTTTGTAGTTCTTAAAACAACAGGAGAGTTATTGACTCATTTGAAAATTGGAAGGACAAGTTAAAGCTGCAGAGAAAATAAAATCAGATAGCAACTCTACAGTACCTTGCAATGATATACCTCTGACAACTGGCCAATGGAGACTTCAGTGGAGGTCTAGAAACAAATTGCCTACCTGGCCTCCTCAACAATAGATTTGCAGGAGCGAAGGAATTAACTGAGGGTGCATGCCCCTCATTAAATGATAAATAGTCAGTGAAGAAAGTTTAAATAAACAAATAAAGGACTCTTGTGGCTCAGTGATAATGTTCCTACTCCTGAGTTACCATCTGCTCCATAGGATTGCAATAACATCTCTGAATAGGTTAATTTTTAAAAAATTGAAAAACCAATCTGAATTTTATTCACCAGTTTAAGCATTTTCTCATTCACAGTTGCTTAATATGATTTGCAGTAAGGATTTACTATTTTTGGTTATACACATGTAAAAAGAAAAGCTGTAAGAAGATTATAAAAAGAATTGAACTGTAAGTTCAGGATAAACTTCATTTAGCAGAAAATTTGCTCCAGGAATGAGTTTGATTTGGTAATGCCAAGACTACATTGGTTAGACCACATGCAGAATATTGTTTGGATATCTGCTCACCATGCTACAAAAATGGATAATGTGCAAAGATGGAAAAAGAATGATTTTGAGTACGAGTAGATGACACATGAGAAAAGATTGATAAAGCTTGATCTCTGCAGTTAAGGATTTAAGAGGGAATCCCACAGCAGTAAATAAAATGCTAAATAACTTAGATAAGATAAATCATGAACACTGCTTTAAGATAAGGCAGTGTAGCAGAACCATGTGCCATAAATATAAATGGCTGAAAGTAAATTTGGCAGAGATTCCAAAAAGATATTCTTGCAAAGGGTGATAAATGTCTTAAATAACTTATCAAACATAATATTCGAGACAAGTTAATTCAGAACATGGTTGGTTGGCAGGCTAAGGATTAAAATGCCATGTTGAGAGGTTCCAGTGGCTTGGAAGTACATTTCACAGTTCTTGACTTTGTTGAAGCTCTATTATTGCCTCTAGTGAGACTAATAATTGGAGCCTCCACCTAGCCTACCTCTTTATGTTCCACCACTAAAAAACAAATGTCTACGTCACACAGTGTGTGTCAGGTTCACCACTCTGGGGGAATAGCATGTAAAGAAAAGATATATATAGGAATGAAAATTAGAACCTGCATTAAATATTTATTTAAGTGTCAACAAGAGGCAGAAGAACTAACTTTGCAAAACTTTGTTTTTTGACCAGCAACAAGCCAAGTCTGGGAATAGGTCTATTTTATCATAATACTGATTCTCTAGACAACCCATTTACTTCTTCCAAGCCTCACTCAATTAGCACTATTGTGAGGAGATTTTCCTGGGTCTGTGCCCAAGTGCACAAGATTGCTTGGAGTGCAAACCTATAAAAAAAACTACATGATTTTTCATCCATTAATCTAAATGGAAGGAACATTGAAGACTTTCTGTGCAGGCTTCTGGCCTCCAAACAAATATCCCAATATTTGAGGTATTCAGGCTGACTGGTGCAAACCAATGAAAATCTTGTCAACACTGCTTTATGAAATGAAATAAAGAATTTTGAAGCTTTAAATAAAAGATTCTTATAACGTCCCCACCTTCTGCTTGCAGTCAGACTTCAGTTCTTCAGAAACTCTGCATTATGGGGCTAATTTTAATCAGGCCTTTCATTCAGAAATTCTAAAAGGAACTGCAGTTCCACACCCCTCCAAATTATATTCAACAGACAGTAAAGTCAGCATGTGAAATGTCACATCTCAGTAAGGTACAGTGCTGCAAACCAAGCCCTGCTATTCCCAGAGTCATCACAAGACTTAAAAATTTTTTGAAATATAGCAGAATTCTCCAATTGACCTGTCTTTTAGACCCAAGCTGTCATAAAGCATGGATCAAATGTCTTTACAAGAATGTCTATTATAAATAAATAGACTCTAGCTACAGGTAAATAATTATGAACCCGTCGGCATATAACTCTGTTAATTGAGACTCTAATCCCCTTATAAAGTTCCCCATACACTCACAGTCACATCAGGGAGAAAACCATGTATTATGTTTGGAGAGAAAACTGGGAAAGTAGTTCAGTGATTATTGTTCACAGGATCTGTTAAGATGATTCTGGTGCTGATCAGAATGCTGCTTCTCGCTTTTTTTCCAGATGGTTCCACTGGTTTGCAAGCAGCACAGGGTGACTAGTTCACTGACAAAAGGTCTCTGATTTACTGCCTGAAAGTCAGAACTGACAGCAACTACTGAAGGAAAGGTAAACTGGTATCTTAAGGCTTAAAGTGGCTTTCACACAGAGAATAGATAGAGCTCCTGAGCTGCTGGTGGTCTGAATAGCTTCTCTGTATCTTGTTAACAACACCAACTGTTCATCTACCTGAGAAGCAATCATGTTATTATCAGCAAACAGAAGACTTTGTCATTGGTAACTAGTCACTAGTCCACAAATCGATTTGCTTCTTGTTGCCAACCGGAGCTCCATTTGTACACAGTCCTTCGAGTCCAGTTCATCTGCAATGATTGCTGTAACTCACAACTGGGCAGTGTTCACAATGAGTACCAAGTTACTTGCTTTTAAACCAGGCAGCAATCTCTGGTCTCAAAAGAGTTCTTTTCTCATTTCAGTCCAGAATTCAAAACAAAACACAAAAATGAAAAGACAGTGTTTCTAGAAAGTAGCATTTCACTCCCAAATATCTCAGATTCCTAACATACACAGAGAATATGGGGCATAAAACCTAGAAACATTCCATTTGACCCAAGCAGTATTTGCTGGGGTATGTGCTTCACTAGCAGATTACAAGAAATGTTACCCTCTATAAATTATTGGTACTTCTTGTCATTAAAGTAGCAAGTCTATTCTCATTTAGTTTGTCATCTTCTCACTAAAACTTTAATTCGTTCAAAAAAAATTGTCAAAAAGATTTTAAAGGGATAAGCGCAATGATAGCCTGTCAGGAGAAAATAAAACATGCATAATTTTTTAGACGTAGTTTTTAAAAAAACAGTTTCCGAGAAGATTACGGATCTCCCATAGTCATGAAATTTATATATATGAGTCACTGTCCGTATCTTCACACCTACAAGTAGCTCACGTCATCCAATTTTCATTCAGAGAGGGTCAAATCTTGCATTCATTTGTGCTGATTCCTGTTTAAAAAATAAAAAAAGAAAATTATAACTTTGAATTCAATTGCTTATATGAACTTTACAACTCAGACACCTATTGTATCCAAAAAAAACAACAGATTTGCTTTTATTAGCACTTTACAGCTAATGAGGTACTCTTTAAGTCTGGTCATAGTTGCAATTAAAGAAATACACAATGATCATAACCAGATACAGGTAATCTGTTTTTAACCATTGGTTAAGTGACAAATATTGGCAGAACTAGGTGAAATCACTTATTTTCTTTGAACTAATGCCATGGGATGTTTCATGTTTATCTAAGAGACTTTGGTATAACATCTCATCTGAAAGAGGAAATGTTTGAAGTATCAGCCTAGATTTTCTTGGTCAAGACCCTGGAGTAGTACTTTCTTTTTGACTAAGAAGTGAAAATAGTACCAATGAGCCATGGCTGACATCATGCATCCAATCCTAAGAGTCTGCTAGAAGCAACAGCATGCACATTGGAAAATGAATATAGTGGGCAGAAGAAAGAGCCTGAGTTCTGCACTTTACAACATGAACAAAGTTCCTAGATGGCTCAGTGGTAAAAGCAGCATCTAGTTACCCAGAAAATCCTGGTTTGGTCCATCCATGTTTAATTCACCGAGATTAGTACAGGTGCTTCAATTAGCAATAGTATCTTGTAATTTAAAAACAAACTACAAAGCTACCTGCTTTGTATTGTTACCCAAATCCTGATAGGAAACACATGTGCAAACATCAGATGATGAAATAATGAAGTTTGGCTCTGATGACTCCCATAATACATTACCAGTCACTGCCTGAATTTGTACAAATAGCCTCTTTGGTGAGACACCAGATGTTTCCTGTGGCTTTAGCAGAGGAGCTTAGAAAATTGAAGTAGGAGTATCTGTAAAAATAACTTCCACAAATGTAAACTGGTATCAGCAGTGGAAAGGAACACAGCGGAGAGATGAACTGCAGATGTTGAAGGATGGAGTATCAGTTATATTGAGAGATGACAGTTACATATTTTGCCATCGGTGATTTTTCTCAATAATGTGACAGCCTGGAAGCAGAAAGGGACAGTCTGAAACAGAGATGGGAGTATAGTTACAAGACAACAAAATTTTCTGAGAGTTTAATCAAATAGGAACAGAAGTGCTCATGTGAATTACAGTTTCTAAATGAGGGGGCTAATAATACTGGTCTTGAGGTAGATAGAAATGTTCTGCAGCACACAGATTGACAAGCACAAGCACTAAAGGTGAGGGTTGTAAGGTATTGAGTCACTATGCTTCATGAATAAGCTGAGCTAGAGAGAAAGAATCAAAAACAGAAGTTGCTGAAAAAGCTCAGCAGGTCTGGCAGCATCTATGAAGAGAAATCAGAGTTAAGGTTTCGGGTCCGGTGACCCTTTCTCAGAGGAATTGCTTATGTTTCTGATTTACAGCATCGCAGTTCTTTCGGTTTTTTACTTAGAGAGAATAAATGATGGCTCATTTAAGTGGGAGATAGAGCACAATATTTAAATTGAGAAGTGAAAGTTGTGAGGTTGTTAGTGGGAACAACAAAAGATATGGTCTTGACTTTGGACACAGGAACAACCATGTGTCTTTCACACTTTGAGTCTGAGATAAATATTAGGAGCTATGCAGTTTAGATTTATTGCCATTCTGCAGGATAATCTTGGAGCATTAAGAGGTTTTGGTCATTGAGAAGGAACACCAGTAAATTTGAGGAGGTATGCTAAAATCCTGTAGTGAACATCCACCCTATTATTCACTGTATGTTCAACCTTATAGCCTGCAGATTGGAAGTTGAAAAAATGACTGTTACATCAAGGTAAAGACATTAAAGGTATACAATTAAGATCTTTAAATGGAGTTAAGTTTCAAATCCTGAGCTGTGCATTCATTATGAGGCATAGGCATCAGTTCAGGTGTCAGGACAGTGGAGTGGTTCAGAAATTAATGAGTAATCTTAGGATTGACTTTCTGAGGCGGGGAGTGAGATGTAGATTTTTTAGTCAGGAGTAGTAACCATGAGTGGAAAACTTCACTAAATATTTTGCTTGCTTGCCAGAATTGAGGCCAACTTTAACATCTCTAATAAATACAGTTCACAGATATGATTTCCAATTTTGTCGGATTTGCTTCGGTGAAAGAGTGAGGGTTGGACGTAAACCATGGATGTGTATCCAGCTTTTCAGAACTCACTTGACTTGCAACCACTGAATAACTTATGCCACCCCTGGAGACCTATAACAGCTTACACATTGATTACAGGAACATAAATCATCCAGCCACATATGGTCAGTGGAGTCGAATGTCATTGAGCACAGAAACTTGACATCTTTAACTTCAAGCATATAAAGACACTGTCTCACTAAAACAGTTTCGGGGTCCAACCAACCTAAAACAAGTGTTCAGCTCATAGTTTACCCTATTTTGAAGGGAGTGGTGGGAGGAAATGTAAATTCAAGTGCCATTTTTAGCTGCCAATAAAAATATTGGGTGATGTATTAGTGTGTATGAATAAGAAGTAAAAGCTACAGAGATATCAATTAACATGCCTGGTTCAGATTGTGTTACATTTCTTACTTTGATGCAGAGATCAAATCAGAATGAGGACTATTACAGTAAAATATGTTGAATGCTTTCATTCACTTTAAATTGTGAGTTCAAAGCACTTCCAAAATTAAAAACAGCTTGAACAGCCATCTTGGCAGAACTTTTCTGAGTACTGAGAGATTCTGTACTACAGTTGGATGACTGGGAGGTTGGGAATAAATATACAGGGACAGGTGTTGAAATGTGACAACTGAATGCCTTCATCATTCTGCAGACAGAGATGCTTTAATGCCAATGCAGCAGCATAATGTGATTTAAGACCTGCCGTCTTAATTGGGAATTGTGTGCTGGAGCTGGCACAAACAGTGTCAAAAGTTTACAGTTTCACACATGCTGTTATGGGAAGTTGACAGACACTTCCCCCCAAGAAAGAAAAATCTCAGCGAGTTGGCACACAAGACTGCCATTGTACCTTCTTAAACTGTTCAAAAGTACTGCTGGAGGATCCAGAAGGAAGATTTTAGGCCAATCATTCAATGGGAGTAGCAGCAGATTCCAGAAGGAAAAACAGGTCTTAAAGACTTAAAGCACAGAAACAGATGCTTCGGTCCATCTTGTCTTCACTGACCAGATATCCTCAATTAATCTAGTCCCATTTGCCAACATTTGACTCATGTCCCTCTAAACCCATCCTAATCATAAACCAATCCAGATGCCTTTTAAATGTTGTAATTCTATCAGCCTCCACCACTTTCTCTGGCAGCTCATTCCATACACATACCACCCGCTGAGTGAAAAATTGCCTATTAAGCCCCTTATATATCTTTCCCCTCTCACCTTAAGCCTATGTCCTCTATTTTTGGACTCCCCTACCTTGGGAAAAGGTCTTGACTATTCACCCTATCCATGCCTCTCACGATTTTACAAACTTCTATAAGGTTGTCCCGCAACCTTCGATGCTCCAATGAAAATAGCCTCAGCCTACTTAGCCTCTCCCTATAGCTCAAACCCTCCAATCCTGGCAACATCATTGTAAATCTTTTCTGAATCCTTTCAAATTTCTCAACATCTTTCCTACAGCAGGGAGACCAGAATTGCATGGAGTATTCCAAAAGTGACCTAACCAATGTCTCGTACAGCCACAACATGACATTCCAACTCCTATACTCAATGCATTGGCCAATAAAGGCAAGTGTACCAACTACATTCTTCACTATCCTGTCTATATGCGACTCCACTTTCAAGGAACTGTGAACCTGGTCTCTTTGTTCAGCAACACTGCCCAGGACCTTACCATTAAGTGTTTAAATCCTGCCCTAATTTGACCTACCAAAATGCAGCACCTCACATTTATCTAATTTAAACTCCATCTGCCACTCCTCGGCCCATTGGCCCATCTGATCGGGGTCCTGTTATACTCTGAGGTAACTTTCTTTGCTGACCATGACACCACCGATTATGGTGTCATCTGCAAACTTACTAACTATACCTCCCATATTCACATCCAAATCATTTACAGGTAATTCTCCTATAACACGATAGTTCCATTCTTATACAACCTTGTGCTATAGAAAATCATACTATAGAAAATCGTGTTATAGGGAAATCGCTATAGAAAATCACTATACTGTATAGTGGAAAGTTCATGCAATCCAAACAGTATCCACTATTCATCAATCACATTATAGCCAATTTGCGTTAACGAAACACGTGTTATAGCAGAAATACCTGTATATAAATAACAAAAAGCAGTGGACCCAGCACTGATCCTTATGGCACACTGCCGGTCACAGGCCTCCTGTCCGAAAAGCAACTTTCCACCGACACCCTCTGACTCCTACCTTTGAGCCAGTTATATATCCAAATGGCTAGTTCTGTCTGTATTCCATGTGATGTAACCTTGCTAACCAGTCTACCATCCAGGACCTTGTTGAATGCCTTGCAGAAAGTCCATATAGACAATGTCCACCGCTCTGCCTTCATCAATCCTCTTCATCACTTCTTCAAAAAAACTCAAATCAGTAGTACAGTACAATAGTTGGGTCAGCAGTTTACAATTTTCTCAGTATCTGTGCTGTATGTGGATTATCAACTATCACGGTTTGTGAGTTGACTTGCTGGCCACTGTTCAGAGATTGTGCAGCTTATGCGATCTGTGTTACAGCACTAGTTCTTGTTATCTTTGACAATGTAATCTACTAGGTCACATATACATAAATATATTGAGTTACAAGCTTGACATAAACTATGTGATATTATACGTAGAGAATCCATGGTTTACGAAAGTCTGACTTGTGAATGCTCGTACTTACAAACACAATCCCATACATGGTTGTAATTTTAAAGACACAACATACAACCATTTCTTGTCCTTAAAGACAGCTGCTTTACATTTTTACCAGACGTGTGTTCAAATCAACTTGCTAATGGACTCCAGAAAGGAATCCATTCACTACCTGAGGACTGCCTATACTTACACATTATGTGTGTGTGTGCGTGTGTGTGTGCGTGCGTGCGCGCGAGAAATTAATAACTTGTACATGTTTCTTTAGCAATGGTGATTACTTTTAAAACAGTTTTTGAGGCCTGGCTTTAATGGGATTTTTTGTGCACCACGAATGAAGTTTTATTTATCCTAGATTGGTCTGTGACACAGCAAGATAAATAATAGCTTGTTAGAGACTTCTGGAACTTATTTTAAGTTAAAGGAAACACCCATTGTGTAGAGAGGGAAACCTGGTTTTGATTTTATTTGAGAGGAAGTCTTGTGGAGACCTAGGATGAAGATGGCTGTATAGATCAGTACTCCTATGAAGGGAAGGCTATAGAGCGGAGAAAAGAGTTAGTCCCACTCCAGAAGTGTTGGTATAAAACCTTGATGAGGTTACTTAACACTGAGTACATTTAAGCTAAATAGTATAATAGCTCGAGGATTAAGCTATGTGAGGTACCAGTCGATAAGTTGAAGTCACAGGCAACGTAAACTTACAAAGGCATTAGACTCAAGGATTCTGGTGTGGATATTGTACAGGATGTGTTTTTGGGTCTGTACACAGGGCTTGTTTTGGGTAGATTACAAAAGCAGTTTTCTTCTCAATTTTTAGAGGAGTGTTTTTGTGATTAATATGATTTTACTTTTACTATGTGCTTAATAATCTTTCAATTTTTATTATAAGTAGGTGGTTTGGTTTATTTTATTTTATCTATATTTCTTTTGTTAATAAGCAGTGCATGTTTATATCTCAGCAAGAGGTCACTTTGTTAAAACCAAAACAAATTAAAATATGATCTATCAAACCAGGTTCCAGTATGGGATTTGACTTGTTTGATAATAACATTAGCTAGGATATTAACACAAGGAAGGTTTTGTTTTGCTACAAATTACTATTTGAATAATTATAATGCTTTGTTATTATGGAAACTCAAGGATAAGCTCACTGTACAGCTACGATTCTTCAAGTATAGCTCTTCAATAAGGATTTAATTATAATTAGGAACTAAATGGAACTATGTGATAATCCTTAATAAAGCCCACCTCCTCATGGAGCTTGTTGAGTATGAGTTCCCTTGGTAACAAACAATAGCCTATCCAGATGGGACTCATCATCTGAGCCCAAAAAATATAAAGCAGACCTTCCCCCCCAACTCCATTCTGTCTTTTCCTACCTTCCCCTGAATTTTGATGGTTTATATTGCCCATAGTGGGCTTTGCTTGTAAATATTGAATTGACTGCACTGGTGATTACTGATGGTGGTTAGTAGTTTATAAAAAGAAAACAGTCACGGTGATTTTGGTGGTGGGAAAGTCACTGAGTTGTGTGTGAGAGCACTTTTTGGGTGTAGGAACAAAACGAATAAACAAACAAATAAATCAAGCAGACCAACTCCCCTCCAATTCCATTTTGAATTAGTACCCCCTCTCTCTCTCTTTTTCCCTGCCTTGCCCTCACTTTTGATGGTGTGCATTGCCCTTAATATATAAATATCTAATTGGCAACACAAGAGTTTTACTAGTGGTCATTGGTATTTAAAACGAAAACAAAAAAAAAAACTCACATTGATTTTGGTGGTGGGAAAGTCACTCTGTTGTGTGCGATAGCATTTCTGGGTATAAAGGAAAGAAAAATAAAGCAAACCCAGATTCAGCTCTTGTCGTGCATTCGTAGTATCCTACCTCTGAGCCAGGAGGCCTGCGTTCAAGTCCCACCTGTCCTGGAGAAGTGTGTCATAACATCTCTGAACAGGTTGATTCAAAATTTGTTTTAAATATAAAGCAGACTCGGAGATCGGTCTACAGAATTCTTGGTTCCAGGCTGCGGCTAACTTTTGTAGGCCATGAGTATTGGCTCTGTTTTGGTGTTCAACAATAAGTTAAGTTCCTTTCCAGTTGGGCTTCCTGAGTTATTACAACCAGCTTATACACAGTAAAGGAATTTTGCCTTTAACAATAATTGTAGCACAGAGACATCAATAACATGGAATTCAATGTTCTAGAACTCAGTGTTGTTCCACGTCAGATCTCATGCACAGTACATGATTATACTAACCACCAGTGTGTAGAATGCCTTTGCCATTGCTTCTTCATAAAACTGTTCCTCACGTAAATACTCAGGGCGGTTGCTTCCAGATTTCTGGATTCTCCAATCTAGATTCTGAAGAACAAGCTGTGTCATGTTCTTACCCTTCTTGTTCAATTGGACTTTTAGAAATTTATTCATTTTATCTATTGTGAGAAGATCATTAATAACCTGAAGTAGATTAAATGAAAACAAATCAATCAGGCAATAAATATACAGCATCCATTAATCAATTAGCATTTAAAGATTTAAATATTTTATTTATTCACAGGATGTGGGGCATCACTGGCCAGGGCAGCATTTATTGTTCAGCCCTAGTTGCCTTGAGAAGACAGTGAGCTGCCTTCTTGAACTGCTGCAGTCTGTTTGGTGCGGGTATACCCACAATGCTGTTAGGGAGGGAGTTCCAGGATTCTGACCCAACGACACTGAAGGAATGATGACATATTTCCAAGTCTATATCGTGAATGGCTGGAGGGGAACTTGAGGTACATATCCATGTCAATCATAAAAGCAAAATCTGAGTGTTCCAGGGTAGTGTAGGTGGTCAGGATGGAACTGTAGGCCTTCACCACTGCAACAATCACCAGTTATCTTAAAGGAGTTGAGGGTTTTTTCCTCTACTACCCTTTCAGGTTGTGAGTTCCAAACTCTGACCACCCTCTGATTGAAAAAATGTTTCCTCAACTCCCCATTAATCTTCTAACAATCACTTTAAATCTATGCTACCTAATCATCAACATCTCTGCTAAGGTAAATCGGCCCTTCCATCCACTCTGTCCAGGCGTCTCATGGTTTTTTTTACATCTCAGTCACATTTCCCCTTAGCCTCCTGGACATGCTTTTATGACCTTCACAATTTCTCACTATATAATGTGCTTGTTGAAAAGAGCAACAGAAATGTGAAGTATTTGATTTATTCATTGCAACAATGACAATTAAAGATTAAATTAGTAGGAGAATTTATTTTTGAGCAGTGGGTAAGGGATAGCTTTTCCTAGTACTTAATAATTTAAGAAACTTCTGGAGCATTTGTTGGCATTTTAAAATTAAAAATGAGAGGCCCTGAGCAAAAGCTAGCAAAAAATTGACCCTATTAAATAATCCATTAGGAGCAGCTATGAAAATGCTTGCCTAACAGTCCGTGAGCTCAAAATGCATCTGTAATCATTGTGATAACAAGGTGTAGAGCTGGATGAACACAGCAGGCCAGGCAGCATCAGAGTAGGAGGAATGCTGACGTTTCGGGTCTGGACCCTTCTTCAGAAATGGGGGAGGGGAAGGGGGCTCTGAAATAAATAGAGAGAGGGGGAGGTGATGATAGAAGGTGGATAGAGGAGCAGATAGGTGGAGAGAAGACGGACAGGTCAAGGAGGCGGGGATGAAGCCAGTACAGGTGAGTGTAGGTAGGGAGTTGGGATGGGGGTTGGTCATTGAGGAGGGAGGGGTGGGTAGGTGGGAGGGAAGACGGACAGGTCAAGGAGGCAGGGATGAGGCTAATAGGTTGGAAGTGGGGGTGGGGGTTGGTCAGTGAGATGGGAGGAGCGGATTGGTGGGAGAAAAGACAGACAGGTCGGGGAGGCGGGGACAAGATGGGCTGGTCTACTAGCTTCATTTCCACCTCCTTCACCTGTCCATCTTCCCTCCCACCTACCCGCCCCTCCCTCCTCACTGACCAACCCCCATCCCAACTCCCCACCTACACTCACCTGTACTGGCTTCATCCCCGCCTCCTTGATGTGTCCGTCTTCTCTCCACCTATCTGCTCCTCTATCCACCTTCTATCATCGCCTCCCCCTCTCTCTATTTATTTCAGAGCTCCCTTCCCCTCCCCCATTTCTGAAGAAGGGTCCAGACCTGAAACGGCAGCTTTCCTGCTCCTCTGATGCTGCCTGGCCTGCTGTGTTCATCCACCTGTACACCTTGTTATCTCAGACTGCAGCATCGGCAGTTCCTACTATCTCTGTAATCATTGTGATGTGTTTTGAAGAAGTAGTATAACAATTAAGGGTACAATATTAAGAACAGCAAAACCAAGACATAACATTCTACACGTTCTTGAAATTAAAAAGTTAGCATTTATAAATATCCTAAATCTTTGGCAATGTCCTAAAATGGTTCACACTCAATGAATTAACCTTTGAACAGCAGTGAGTAATGCAAATAAATGAGGCAGATTTAAAAGATCCCACCACTGGCAGTGAGGTAAACCTATTTTAGATGGCGTTGGTGGCAAGAAGAATATTGGCTAGGCAATATTTTGGGTAGATTGTCAGTCTTTGCAGAGACAAGGAAAGTAATTGTTGAAGAATACAAACTATTCAATTTTTTGAGCAAGATGCCAGCACCACTATTCCTGGATTAGTTAAATTTAGGCAAAATATAATTTACTTCACTCCAAAAATAGACTATAAGACCATAAGAAATAGGAACAGGATTAGGCCCTTTGGCCCCTCAAGCCTGTTCCACCATTCAATAGGATCATGGCTAATCTGACATTCCCCACATCCACTTTCCTGCATTTTCCCCGTAGCCCTTGATTAAGGGTTACTGATCAAGAAAGCATCTATCTCAGCCTTAAATATATATAAGGACTTTGTCCCCACCCCCCAAGTGTCTGTAACAAGGAATTCCAAAGACTCTTGACCTTCTGAGAGAAGAAATTCCTCCTCTGAGACTATGACCTCTGGTCTTAGACTCTCCCATGAGGAGAAACATTCTTTCAGCATTTACCTGTCAACCTCCTTAAGAATCTTATATATTTCAATGATCTCATTGAGATCACCTCTCATTCTTCTAAACTCCAGTACATAGAGTCCCAACCAGTTTACCCTTTGCTCATAAGAGATCTCTCCATTCCAGGATCATCCCAGTGAACCTTCTCTAAACTGTCTCAAATGAAATATCTTTCCTCAAATAAGGGGACCAAATTTCCTCAAAGTACTCCTGATGTGGTCTTGCCAGCACCTTGTACAATTGAAGGACGACTTCCCTACTCTTATACTCGCACACTTTAATGAAGTTCAGCAAAGTGGGCCTTTTTGTACCAGAGTAATTTTTTTCTTATTTACCACAACAGTCATTTTAAGTAAGATTACCAACTTATCATCAAAATATACCAAAATATTAGGCAATTTGAATTGAGACCTTACATTAAGTAGAATCAGGGCTGTGACTTCCCCACTATACAAAGCTATAGCCAACACAGAGGAGAAACCTTCAATATAATAGTTTGAATTTGATTTAAGTTTAGGCCTAAGGTGAAAGAAGAGTACTTAAGGGCTTTCTCCAGCCACTGCTAGTATTTTTCCAACAGTGGGAGGGGTGCCTGCATGATGCTGCTGAGGCCACTGGCTCAGGAGTGGGGATCTCTCTTGTTTGGCCAACAGAGGGCTTCCCAGGAGCAAGGGCTGCCTGGCTTGCCTCCATCTTGGTCACCTGATCATCACATCTGCTCTACCACTTGTCAAGCTTGCCCTCGCTTGCCTCATTATCTCGCCTCGATTGCTTTCTGGTTGGGGACTGGCTACAGTGCCAGAAGGCCCTGCTATGAGTGCACTTGGAAGTGGTTCATCATCACATACAAGGCCAGAAGGCTCAACCTCTGGCAGTTTGCTGCCTGACGATTGTAAAATCTGGTTACAGCTTCCCAGCCTGGCTTTTCAGCTAGTGGGAGGGGATAGAGCCTTCAAATAAAATTCCAGCCAATGTTTCCAAACTCACCGGTAAGTCACAACGCTCATCATCAAAATAATGTCCATCCCATACTTCTATTGCAATGCTGCTGTATTCTTTTGTAAGTGTCAATATGTTTTTATTCAGACAGTTTCCCACGACATGTTGTAAAGGACGTGAAAGTGCATCATTCAGGAATTCCTAAGCAGGAAAAAAATGTAAAAAATACATAGTTTCAAATGTCTGCAGGAAACAGGAGTGATTTATTAATCAGTGATATTTACATCTGTCTTTGAACTATTTCAGAGTGGATATAGTCTAAAGTTGGCAAAAAAAATCAAGCTGTGTAAAGGATTATACATGTGGAAAATTAATTGGGGGTGGGGGCAATATGTGATTGATGAAAAATATAAAATCATATGGAATTGTTTAAAGGAATTATCACTATAGTGGTAGAAATGATAGAGCACAAACTGTTTCATATAAATGTTGATATCCTGCCTTTATAAAAAGTTTCAAAGATTTCTGAATACTCACAGCATCTGGAGCACCTTGAAAAAGTGGTGCATTATGGAGCCCAGTATTTACGTATGGACTACGAGGAGGAAAAGAGAAAAAAAATACAGCACAGTTTAGTTGGGGTAGTACACTGCTGCACCAGAAGCTACAAATCCTTAGCTCCACTTTTGTGCCTTATCCCAATAGCCCTTGATTACTTAAGGATTAAAAATCTGTCTAACCCAGCCTTTGAAAGACTTAACAACCCAACCTCAATGGCGTTCTAAGTTAAAGAATTCTTCATAATAATTTCTCTCTGAAAGAAGTAAACTCCTCCTCAACTCTGTCTTAAATGAGTGACTCCTTACGCTGAGGTTATGTCCTCTGGTCCTAGAATCTCCCACAAGGGGAAACAACCTCTCTGCATCCACCTCTCCGAATCATAAGTGTCATATGATTCTTAAATTTTTCCATAAGATCTCCTCTAATTCTTCTAAACTCCAATAAGTGCAAGCCCAACATACTCAACCTCTCCTCAAAAGACAATCCTGCATACTCAGAATCAATATAGTGGACTGGCTAAAGTGCCACTATCTTTCCTTAGAAAAGGGAGCCAAAACTGTTCATCGTTTTCCAGATGTGGTCTGCCTACTGCCTTGTATAGTTTCAGCAAGACCTCACTGTGATACTCTATTCCCTTTGGAATAAACACCAATAATCCATTTGCCTTTCCTATCAGCTGCTGAACTTAGAGTCATAGAGTCATAGAAATGTATAGCACGGAAACAGACCCTTTGGTCCAACTCCTCCATGCTGACCAGATATCCCAAATTAATCTAGTCCCATTTGCCAATATTTGGCCCATATCCCTCTAAACCTTTCCCATTCATGTACCCATCCAGATGCCTTTTAAATGTTGTCATTGCCTCCACCACTTCCTCTGGCAACTCATTCCATACACGACCACCCTCTGTGCGAAAAAGTTGCCCCTTTTAAATCTTCCTCCCTCACCTTAAATCTATGCCGTCTAGTTTTGGAGTCCCCTACCCTGGGGAAAAGACCTTGGCTATTCATCCTACCCATGCCTCTCATGATTTTGTAAACCTCTATAAGGTCACCTCTCAGCCTCTGATGTTCCAAGGAAAACAGATCCAACCTATCCAGTCTCTCCATATGGCTCAAACCTTCCAACCCCAGCAAAATACTTGTAAATTTTTTCTTAACCCTTTCAAGTTTAACAATATCCTTCCTTATAGTAGGGAGACCAGAATTAAACACATTATCCCAAAAGTGGTCTAACCAATGTCCTCTAACTTGGATGCTACCTTTTTGTGATTCTTGCACCAGAACCCCCAAATCTCTGTGCTGCAGCTTTCTGCAGTTTTTCCCCATTTAAATATTATTCAGCACTTCTATTCTTCCTGTAAAACATATTGTCACATTTTCCCACATTATATTTCATATGCCAAGTTTTTGACCACTCTCACTTAATCTGTCTACTTCCCTACATAGGTTCAATTTGTCATCCTCATTACTTGCCTTCACACCTATTTTGTACCATCTGCAAACCTGGTGATAGTACATTCCACTTCCATCATCCAAATCAGTTATCTACGTTGTAAAAATGGTCTTATAGTCTAACAACAGTCCATGTTCTTGCTCCCGACTGCTATTCGGTAAGCCTGTCTAGGAGATGCATGAGTGTGATTACCACATAAAAGAATATCAAACTAAATATTGATGCCCTCTATTTTCAAACAGCTTTCTACTATTCACTTGTGGACAAATACACTGAGATGGGGTAAAGGTTGCTGGCATATGCAGAAGTGTACATCAGGAAGGTACAATATATTTGAGAAAGCTGGAAAAATATAAATGAAGTAAATGCTGGAATATTTTCAAAGATTTCCTCTGACATTTAAAATAGTAAACATATATTTGCATTTCTTAGAATTGCTGCTGTGTAATGCTGAGCAATTGTACCAAAAATAATAGAATCACCCTATAATGCATAAAAGCATAAGTTTATGCCTTGATAGCAGTAAATGACCAATTTTACAGCCCCTTTAAAGTTTGAGAGTCATACATGAGAATGGAAGGGGAATGGTAAAATACATCAATATGCAGTTACCCACAAAAAAGAGGAATGGCTGACCACCCCAACTGTAAAAGTGCATCCAGTTCTGGCTCCTCTCCTGTGTGTGATGTGACTTTGCCTGGATGCTGACCACTAGGATCAGGTTTGTAGATAACATTGATACCGAATATCTGGATGAGTAGCACACTGTGGGTATCCCAACATGGATGTAACACCTAAGGAATAAAAGGTTTAAAAAGTTGTTACCCAGTATGACTCTTACAAAAATACTTTTTGTTGGGGTCTGCTTCTGGCATGGATCTTGGTGAACAGATGTGTGATTGGATGACAGTATGATTCCAATTTGCCATGCTTTTGTTTATCAGACGATTTATTTTCTAAACCAGAAAATCGACAGCACTATATTTGGGCTGTCTTTCATACTTGGTACTCAATCCCATGCTCCTGTTGAGGAGGTCTCAGTACCGTAAGTGTATGTATCGTTTCAAAATTTATATTGTAACATCCTAATTACAAGTCTTTACCGGTTAACAACCATAATAAACATCAAAATTAATAAGCGTTTGCATCAGTCCTATAATCTTTCCTCGCTTACACTGTACAAACTTTTAATAGGACACTGAAAACTGTCACAAATTACTTTTGAAATATACTTTTGTTGAGGATTAAAAAAAAAAGCCAATTTTGCACAAGGTCTCAAGCAGCAATGGGATGCATGAACAGATAATCTATGTTTTGACATTTTGTTGAGAAATAGCTGTTGACTAGACAAAAGAAAAACTCTTGTTCTCTTTCAGATGTGTCATGGGATATTTTCATATCTCATCTGAAAGATGGAACTTCTGACAATGCAGTACCATAAGTATTAGAGTAAAGTCTTAACCCAGATTATGTACTCAAATCCTGTGGTGTACTCGAATCCATTATCTTTTGATTTGAGAATGCTGCCCTGAGTTAAGATGACATCTATTGTTGAACTACACAATGAGACGGATTTTATATTTGCAAAATCAGGTGCACTGACCCAAGCATTAATGAAAGATTCAGTGCAAAGGCATTTGATTGATTTGATTTATTATTGTCACATGTATTGAGATACAGTGAAAAGTATTGTTTTGCGTGCTAGCCAGACAAATCATAAGTATATCAGGGTAATGGAACAGTATGCAGAATACAGTGTTACAGCTACAGAGAAGATGCAGAGAAAGATCAACACTAATATGTGAGAGGTCTGCTCATAGGTCTGATAACAGCAGGAAGAAGCTGTTTTTAAATCTATTGGTATATGTTTTCAAACTTTCGTATCTTCTGCCTGATGGAAGAGGGTGGAAGAGAGTATAACCTGGAGGATTTAAGTTATAGTGAGAGGCTGAATAGGCTGGGGGTTTTTTTCCCTGGCGGCTTGGAGCCTGTGGTGAACTTATTGAGGTTTATAGGCTGAGGCTATTCTTTCTGGAGCATCCGGGAGCTGAGGGGTGACCTTACAGAAGTTTTTGTAAAATCATGAGGGTCAAGGATAGGGTGAATAGCCAATGTTTTTTTCCTGGGTGGGGGTCCAACACAAGGGGGCATAGGTTTAAGGTAAGAGGGGAAAGATTTAAAAAGGAGCTAAGGGGTTACTTTTTCACACAGAAAGTGGTGCGTGTATAGAAATGAGCTGACAGAAGAGGTGGTGGAATGGGGTACAATTACAACATTTAAAAAGCATCTGGATGGGTATAGGAATAGGAAGGACGTTAGTGAACCATATGGGTTTTCTGACAATCAACAATGGATTCATAGTCATCACTAGACTCTTAATTTCAGATATTTATTGAATTCAAATTCCACCATCTGCTGTGGCGGGATTCGAACCTGGGTCCCCAGAACGTTATCTCATTCTCTTGATTAACAGTCCAGTAATAATAGGCCATTGCCTCCCAAATTAGGGGGATATGGGCCAAACGCTGGCAAATGTGACTAGGTCAGTTTGGACTGTCTGGTTGGCACAGATGACTCGGACTGAAGGGTCTGTTTTCGGGCTCTATGACTCTATTACCGGGGTGGGAGGAGTCTTTGATTATGTTGGCTGCTTTCCTGGGCAGTGGGAAGTGTAGACGGAGTCAATGGAAGGAAGGCTGGTTTTCATGATGAACTCCGCTGCATTCACAACTCTCTGGAATTTCTTGCAGTCTTGGGTAGAACAGTTGCCATACCAATCTGTGATGCATCCAGATAAGATGCTTTCTATGGTGCATCTATAAAAATTCTAAGAATCATTGTGGACATGCTGAATTTCCTTAGCCTTCTGAGGAAGTAGAAGTGTTGGTGAGCTTTCTTGACAGTAATGTCGACGAAGATGGACCAAGATAGATCCATGGTAATAGTTACTCCTAGGAATTGATGCTCTTGACCACCTCCAACTCAGCACCGTTAATACAGACAGGGGCATGTCTTCCTACTCCACTTCCTGAAGTCAATGACTGCCTCTTTCATTTTGCCGACACTGAGGGAGAGACTTTTGCCTTTACATAAAGTTTTCACACCAGTCTCCTAAATCACAGAAGGTGAGTGGGTGTGGAAATCACCATTTTTAAAATCACTAATTTAATCACTCAATTGTCTGTATTTTTTCATTACCCACTGCATTTTTTGGGCATTGTGCATGAAAATGTTCAAAAGTGTTTGATAACAGATATAACAAGGTGACACAAGGATGGTAGAAAAGATTTGCCATGTGACTGAATGCACAGAATGAGGACAGTGGCAATATTTGTTATTTAATGACATTTTAAAAAATCGACATTGTACATTCAATAAAATATAAAGGTTAATTCTGATAATTCAAAGAAAAAACAGCTAAAATTGAAAATACTTTTAAATGGATGTATTGGTCTCAACTGGATCACCATTTTGAAGGTAATATAAGGTGATTGGATCAGCATTTATCATTCGCAACTTTTACTGGTTTTCTCTTTTGGATGTGACCAACTCTGTGTTTGTGGCATTACCCCTCTTCTGTTTGATGTCCTGATTGTGCCAACAGGGCACAGAACCCAAAACCCTTTGACTCTTTAAAGGGAATCCTTCCTACCAGATGGCCACGAATTGGTTCTCTATCATTTGACTGAATGTGCTGAGACAGCATCAGCGAGAGCTAACGAACTCCTCAGTTTCGGTTCTTCCTCCCTCACTGAAATGTAAAATGCAACCCAATGTGGGAAAAGGTCTGAAAATCAGATTTAAATGTGCTTTCAGACGGTCTTGAGTTTCATAAATTAGCTTGCTTTTTTCCTATATAACGGTCACAGTAGTCATAACGTAGTTTACTGCTTTCAAAGCACTTTTATAGAGGTTTCTAAAATTATGAGGAGCATGGATAGGGTGAATAGCCAAGATCTTTTTCCTACGATGGGGAGTCCAAAAGTCGAGGACACAGGTTTAAGGTGAGAGGGGAAAGATTTAAAAAGGACCTGAGGGGCAACTTTCTAATGCAGAGGGTGGTGCGTGAAAGGAACAAGCTGCTGGAAGAAGTGGTGGAGTCGGATACAATTGCAACATTTAAAAGGCATCTGGATGGGTACCTGAATAGGAAGGGTTCAGAAGGATATTTTAGAGACTTTTGAGCGACTCTCAGATAGACACATGGAGGATAGTAAAATGTAGGGTATGCAGGGTAGATTGATCTTAGTAGGATAATAGGTCGGCATAACATCGTGAGCCGAAGGGCCTGTACTGTACTGTTCTATGTTCTTAAATATTGGAAGATAGGACTAGATCAGTTTAGAATGTCTGGTTGGCATGGGTGAATTGGACTGAAGGGTCTGTTTCTGTGCCGTATAACTCTATGACTCCATTTTAATTTTTCTATACACTGGTGACACAGTGACTCATTGGTTAGCACTGCTGTCTCGCTGTACCAGGGACCCAGGTTCAATTCTGGCCTCAGGTGACTGTCTGTGTGGAGTTTGCACATTCTCGCTGTCTCTGTGTGGGTTTCTACCAGCTGCTCTAGTTTCCTCCCACAGTCCAAAGATGTGCAGGTTACGTGGATTGGCCATGCCAAATTGTCCCGTAGTGTCAAGGGATGGCAGATTAGGTGGATTAGTCATGGTAACTGCAGGGTTGTGGGGGTAGGGTGGTGGGGGCTGAGTCTGGATGGGATGCTGTTCAGAGGGTCAATGCAGACTTGATGAGCCAAATGGCCTCTTTCTGCCCTGTAGGGATTCTATGATTTCTAAAGTATTTCATTGGTTCTGAAGTGCTTTGGAATATCCTGCAGTCATGAAAGGCACTATCTTTCTTTTTTATGTAAAAAGTATCATATAGATGCAAGTATTTAAAACTGTATTATTCTGTCCACATCTCCTGCTCCTTACCCAAGTTGGATCTTTCCACCGAGGTGATCTCTGAAGGCTGGCAAAATCATGCAGACGGGTCAAGAATTTTTCTTCACTGCCCCCAGCTTCAGCTGTTTCAGGCACTCGCAAAGCATGGTCTCCTTTCAGAATTCTGGCAAAAGCATTCACATAAAGGCCATCTTCTAAACAAGAAAAAAATTAAGGTTAAAAAAATTAACTTGGAAAAAATTAAAATGTCTAACAATAAAATTATGATTATTAGTAAATTTTTATTAATGAAAAGAAACATGTATTGGGGCACTGACATCATAAATTCGGTTAGTTCAGTTGGCTGGACAGCAGGATTGTGATGCAGAATGACACCAATTCCCACACTGACTGAGGTTAGAATGAAGGTTACCACCTTTTCAACTTCACCCCTCTCTTAAGGCATGGTGACCCTCAAGTTAAACCACCACCAATTGTCTCTCTTTAATGGGAGACCAGCCCTATTTTTCCAGTAGGACTATGACCACTTTAGCATTCATCATAAACTATGGCATACTTGGGACAAAGCACCCAACTTTTTTTTAAAAAAACGTGTTCTTGAAATGTGGGCTATACTGGGAAAGTGGTATTTACTACCCATTCCTAGTGATTGTGATGATACCAAGAATCAACTACAATTTGTAGGGGAGTCACTTACACGTCAGAGAGAGAGACTGGATACATGTTTGTGGAGATGTGTGATGGGGACGGGGTGAAGGGATGCTGGGAGGGAAGAAAGCAAGCCAGGTGCCCTTCTCTGAATGACATCAAGGAAGCAACTGCAGTTTAATAATTCAGCAACTTGCATGGTCATTTCTACTTGTGGCACCAGTTTATTAACTACCAGATTTATTGTATAAAATTCACAACTTAATTTGAACTTGTAACCTGGAGGCTTCTAGACCATATTGTAACATTTGATTATTCTGTAATTACAGAAAATAGCACGTAACTTATAAGACTGAAAAGATGCAGGATATTATCATGCAACACGAAATTAATCTGATTTTTATAAAAACATTTGTAATTTCAGTTGTCTATTAGATTTCTACGCTTGGTATTTTCCTTGGTCAGAGTCACTTACCACTCAATTAACAAACAAACATTCTCTCTCCTACAATCTGAAGGTGTACCTTTTTCTGACTAATATCCTAATTGACGATAATAAGACTAAGGCACTGTATCAGAGAACTTAGTTTATACAACACTTACTGGGATGCATCAATGAAACCACCCAAATATAGAATTCAAGGCAAACTATAAACCACAGTACAGAAAGTACAAAGTAGTACATTTAGCACAGTGTATTACTTCCAAATACTAGATACACGAGATAATAAAGATACTATGAATTCTCTTATATGAACCAGAATCTTAAAAGAGAGCCAAACTGATCATGCTGCAGTTTCAAAATTGGCTTGACTTCTCTGCTGACGAGTACAATCTAAACAAAATAAAAGCAAAGTCTTTCTGCAGTCTGGAAAGCTTTCAAGTGAAAAAAGGCTTCTCACAGAAACACAATTCAAACAATCTGGCACTTGCACATCCCCAATTTTCTTTGTTGTGCCATTGGTGGCTCTATCTTCAGTTGCATTGCCCTAATCTTTGAATTCCTTCCTTAAAGCTCTCTACTTCCACAATCTTTCCATTCCCGCAATCTCTCTTTCTTTCTTTAAGTTGCTCCTTAAAACCTCCTTCTCTAACCAAACTTTTGGTCACTAGTTCTAATATTGCACTATGTGGCTCATCATGAAACATTGGTAATTGTATTTTGGGACATTATACTATGTTGAAGATCTTTATAAATACAAGTGCATGTTGCTGTTATGTGAACTAAGGTGTAAGGGATTGGGAAGCCTTTAAAAACCAGCTCAGGATAACTAACAAAGCGATAAGTGGGTAGAAGATAAAGTATGAGAGTAAGCTAGCTATAAGTATAAAAGAAGATTGCAACAGTTTGTTTTAGATGCCTAAAAGGCAACAGTGGACATTGGACTGCTGGAAAATGACGCTGGAGAAGTAGCAGTGGAGAACAAAAATGGTGGAGGAACTAAATAGATAGCTTGCATCAGTTTTCACAATGCAAGACATCAGCAACATACCAGAATTTCAAGAGAATCGGAGGCAAAGGTGAATGCGGTGGCCATCACTAAGGAGAAGGTGCTGGGAAAGCTGAAAGGTCTGAAGGTGGAGAAATCACCCAGATCAGATTGACTACACTCCAAAGCTTCTGAAGGAGATGGTTGAGGTACTGGTGGTGATCTTTCAGGAATCACTGGAGTCAGGAAGAGTCCCAGAGGACAGCAAAATGGCTATGCACCCCTGTTTAAGAAAGGAGGGAGGCAGAACACAACAAACTATAGGTTGGTTAGCCCAACCTTAGTTGTTGGTAAGATTTAAGAGTTCATCATTAAGGACGATATTGCAGAGTACTTGGTAGTGCATTGTAAAATAGGGCTGAGTCAACACTGCTTCATCAAGGGAAGGTTGTGCTTGACAAATCTGTTAGAATGCTTTGAGGAGATAACAAGTTACGCAAAGGAAAGCCAGTTAATGTGATCTGTTTGGATTTCCAGAACGCCTTTGACAAGGTACTGCACAGGAGGCTGCTAAATAAGAAAGAGGTCATGGTGCTAGAGCCAAGGTACTGATAGATAGAGGATGAGCTGACTGACAGAAGGCAGAGAGTAAAGATAAAGGATCTTTTTCAGAAAGGCAGCCAGTGACTAGTGGAGTTCCACAAGAGTCCATGTTGGGACCAGAAATATTCATGTTAAACATTAATGGTCTGGATGAAGGAACTGAGGGCATTGTTGCTAAGTTTACAGATGACACAAAGATAGGTGGAGGGACAAGTAGTATGGGGAAGTGAGGAGGCTGCAGAAGGACTTGGACAGGCTAGACCAGTGGGCAAAGAAATGGTAGATGGAATACAATGTGGGAAAGTGTGATGTTATACACTTTGGTAAGAAGAATAGAGGCACAGACTATTTTCTCCAATGCAGAGAAATTTCTTCACTCAGAGTGGTGAGCTAGTGGAATTCTGTGTCACAGAAAGCAGTTGAGGCCAAAACATTGAATGGAGTTAGATATAGTTCTAAAGGGTAAGTGGATTAAAGGGTATGGGGAGAAAGTGTGAACAAGGTACTGAGTTGGATGATCAACGATGATCATATCTACAGGAGAAGAGGTCTGAAGGGCTGAGTTGCCTACTCCTGTTCCTATGTTCTATGATGCTAGAGCTAATTTGCTCCTGCCCCAATGTATTTTGAGCATTGGTGTTTATGGTCCCAGGCAGCATAGGTCCCCCACAAAGCGTAGGGCCCAGAGTCTTGGTTTGCCCGACCCCTTAGATAGTTTTACCATATTTACCCACCTGTACAAGTTTAAAGGAACTTGGCAGTTTTGCAATCATAGAGAAATCTCACCCCATTTCATTGTTGGCAAAATCTTCACCAAAATCCTTTTGAAACACTTTGTGTAACAAATCAACAAGAATCTGCTTCCAGATTATTGATATGGTTTTTGCAGTGAGACAGCTACAGGAAGAATTCCAAGAACAGAAGATGGACCTCAATGCTTATTGACATGACCAAGACTTTGACACATCAACTGTGAGGACACTTGGAAAGTAATGCAGATATCAGTTGCCTGGGAAATTCATCTCAATAGTTTGACAATTCCACGAAGACAGGCTCACACGTGTCCTGGATAATGGTGAGCCTTCTAACTCATGGTGTTAAACAGGATTGCTGCTAATGTCGATTCTTTTCAGCACGTTTTACTCTTCCTTGATGATAAACCTGGCATCAAAATAAGATACTGAATGGATGGAAAGTTGCTCAATTTGTGAAGGCTCCAAGCAAAGACCAAAGTATCCTAGGACATACTTTGCAATTTCCTGTTTGTCAATCATCGTGCGCTAGCTGCCAGTTCATAGCTGGACATGCAACATAGCATGGACTTGTTCATCCAACAACTTCAGCCTTACTAACAGCAGAAAGAAAATTGGAGTAATATGCCAGCTTGTTCCAGGAAGGTAACATTTGAGTCCAACATTTCAGTATATAAGCAGAACAGGTCAGCAGCAGATAAGTTAATTTATCTCAGCAGCACACCCTCTTGAGCTGTCTACTTGCGATAAGACACATGTAAGAATTACCAAAGCAAGTGTTGTTTAAAGCAGACTTTGAACTTCAGACAGGAATCAAGAGGAATAAAACTGCTAACCATCTTGAAATTCTACAGAACACTAGTCCTGCCCACATTGCTTTATACATGTGCAACTTGTATGGAATACCAGTGTTATGCCAAGAAGCTCAACCATTTTCACTGAAGAAGGGTCTAGGCCCAAAACGTCAGCCTTCCTGCTCCTCTGATGCTGCTTGGCCTGCTGTGTTCATCCAGCTCTACACCTTGTTATCTCATTTTCACTTGAGCTGTTTTTGAAAGCTTGAAAATATCAGATGGCATGATAAAATATTAGATTCCGAGGTGCTCACATGAGCTGGCATACCAAGCATCCACACCTTTATTGAGATTGTCACTAGTGAGTTGGGCTGGTCATGTAACCAGAATGCCTGGTATTAATTTATCAAAGCAAATCTTCTATGCAAAGCTTGAGTTTAGGGTGTGCTGTCACGATAGTCAAAGGAAGTGCTACAAGAACACGCTGAAGAATTCACTTCTCAGCCTTGAAAGAAGTTTGCTTAAAACACTGGACCAGGCACAATCTAATAGAAAAAGCAGTGCAGCATCCTTCAAGGTCAAACACATATCAGAAGTGGAGAGAAAACACAAAGAGAGGAAATCCTGAGGCAGCAAGTTGTCCAAAGCTCAGTCATCTGTGGTATCCTACCCACTTGGGACAGAAGCTTCTGAACGCAGATCAGTCTCGGCAATCATCTACATACAAACTGGAACCTCACCAAATACCACAGTTGATTAATGTAGTTGCCTTCTCCTCAAAAAGTAAGCAATAAGAAATTAAACCAAAGATTAAATTACATTTAGCAACTATGAGTCAACCTTTGATTAAAAGATATGCTGCTGCCCACACGTGTGGAATTCATCATGAAGCTCCATAAACATTTAGTACCCGCTATTGTGCTTTGTTTAACACCTTGGGAAACCAACCACAGCCAGCCCATCTGCGTTCTAAGCTCCTACTTTTTAATTTGAGCAATCAAAAGTGTAAAATTAAAAAAAGACAAGAATCCACTTTTTTGTCAAATTCATATCACATTTGTGATGTGGGAGTGAAGTATTCAATAAAGTATTCAATAATGACCTTTCAAGCCATAGACCTGAGAAATTCGTAGATGGATTCCAGTTCGTTGGTGGTATCGAACCATACGGACTAAACTAAGATGTGCTGATGGCTGCTCATGTAAAAGGTGTTTCCTGTTGTCTAATCTTTTCTTGTACCAGGCCATCCACTGTTCAGGAGGAACTAAAATAACAGCAAAGATTTTATAGGAGAATATACACTGCATTCCAAACATACTTAATACATAAGCATTCAGGTTAAGTTTTAAAACAATCTTGATTACCACGGTAATGATATGACATGACACTTCGGAATTGTACAATACGACAGAATGCAACAAAACAGTTGGCCAAATTGATATAATGGAGTCCAGAGTCTGATATGGTATGTCAAGCCATAGCGGGTATAGTAGGCATAATACTTATGAGGCATCTCTAATGTATTGGAAATAAGAAAATAAGAAAGAGAAGCTAATAAATATTTCAGGTATGAAGAGATATCACAATATTTAAAATCGTGATCCTTTCTCACAGCTATGTCCATAAACCCACCACACCCAATCTCGGCAAGTCCCTAATCCCAACCATAATCTTACTTCCTCAGGGTTTGGGGTCCCACATGACCATAATATAAATATAAATTAATTTATAATTTCGATTTTGAACTAATGGCATGTGGGTTTTGTTTTGTGCATGAGAGAGAGGGAATGAGAGAGAGAGGATTTAATGTTTAGCTTGTCAGTTTTGTTTTAACCATGACATTTTTTAACCCATAATGAAAAAATGAGTTACCAATGCGTGTAATTTTTAAAAAGTATCTTTTCAAATACAGTATTGTGTGAAGGTATACTGCGTTGAACCTCTTTTATATTTGGTGATGTACTTCAGTTGGTGAATATCAGATAGGAATGCACAGAGCTATATATCTTTGATACAATTTTCAATTTGTACACTTTCTTCCCAAAAACCTAACTGGCTTGGGCATTGATTGCTTTGAGAACCTGTGGTTCACTTAAAGTTGCTTCACTTAAAATCACGATTTTCAGGAATGCAGGCACAACTTGAAGCAAGGACTTGCTGCACGGCATTATATGCTCACCATGATTCTGCTGATGATCACCATATAGATTCACACTTGAACAACTATCACTTGAAGGGAGTACCAGATGTCAGTATCTATGAATTACATCCCAGTAAGAAGTAAATGTGAGAGAGAGGGAAAAGGAGAAGCAGAAATAGAAAAAAGTGCTCACTGAAATGAAGAATGTATCTATTATATTGGTATCAGGAAGGTGTGTATCAGTGCTGTGGTCTGGAAGTGTATTTTTTAATTCTCCAGCTTTATATTTCATCTCGCGAAGAATTGGTTTATGCTTGATACCATCAAAGTCAAACAGGATCAACTAATCCAGCATCAAATTGGAATGCATCCTAAAGCATGTCCTTACTGTTCTTTTGTTCCTTGGTCATTAACTGTGCTGTTGCATCGGCCACAGAGTTTGGGAACTCCTTGTTTTGCTGGAAGGATGAAATTATCTGCAGATCTGATTTACTTGGTTTTGCATCCTCAGTGAAGTAAAATCCACTTAGATAGTCTGGAGGAGGCACAGGATTCTGACCAAAGCAAAACAAAAAAGGGCATTTTGGAGGATTTCACTGTATTTATTTTATTTTTGATGCTGATTCAGAAGTATTGGATGGAAAGGATAACTGAGATGTTAATTGCAAAAGGAAATTAACCACACCATACAAATGTCTATTTTTATTTTGCCTTCTCACCCACATGATAGAACATAATAGAACAGAACAACTAAGCTCTTTCAATGGCATAGTAGGTAAAAGTAATTTACTATTACTTGTTGTAATATTAGATTAGAATGACCAGAATAACCAAAGACTGGCTTTAAGTCCAAGCATAATTTTGCACTAAGGACAGGACTGTTTTTAGCAATTACTCAACCATTTTGAAGCCCACAGGGTTTTCTCATGGATGTGAAGCTAGTGGACTTAAACATAATCAGTCATACCTAAATTCAGTGGCATTATCTTTTCCATCATTGTCATGATTGAAACAACAGAATGGGATATAGCAGGCATCCAGCAAAGCTTAGTGACAAAAAATGTTTCTCAAAGTTTGAATGTCTATGAGCAGTGCAACTGTTGACTGATGCACAGACAAGCACAGAGAATTTGAAATGTTCAAACTCTGGTTATAAACAAGGCCTTCCTGTTTGTTCCAGCCATTCACCCTAAAACTTTAAGGAGGACAGAACATGGGTCACAACAGAAACATTGATAAATTTTCTCAGCTACTTTCTCCGACAGCTTGATGATCTCCCTCATTGTTTACTGGGGCTCTGGAAGTCTTCAAGAGGAGCATTTCACTGCACACAACTTGGATGAGGGCTCTTGAGGCACAGTGGTAGTACATAAGGGTTAGAAGGATTGGGTTCAAGTCTCACCTACTCCAGAGGTCTACTCTATATGCCTGAACAAAATGATTAAAAAAATGTACAACTTGGATGTGCTTCCTGGCACCTATACCACTAAACTTCCTCTTTCTGAGGAAGTCCTCTATTTTCCAAAGAATTGGCAAATTTCTGTGATACTAAGGACTGTTATACTCTAGAAGATAACTGTATTCAAACAGATTCAGTTGCACCAATTTGTTAAAATTGTGTCCTCCATTTTCTGTCATATCCCCAATTACCCCATTTGTGCTACAAATACTGTTGGGAAGGAATGCTTTCCTAGGGATTTTGTTTTTAGTACTTCTGACATTTGTACAATTATTTGCAAATATAACTTCTGTCAAATCTGAATTTGCCCATATTTGACCATGCTTCTTAAGCAGTCAATAGCTCAACTTTCTACCAAAGTTAACAATCGATCCAAATCTTCGCCCACACTCAAATCATCAGGCTTCAATTCTGAAAAATGTTGTTTCTTATCTTGCTTGTATGGTACCAAAAGTGCTAAGGCTAATTTAGCTTTCTCTTTGGTAAAGAAGTAACTCAGATTCACCTCATAACTCCATTCTTCCACTGGTCATGAGGCTCAGCTTCAGAAAGCAGGCTGGCAATCATATCCCAGAATTTTACATTTTGACTCAATCATTTCCTACTACCAACATTAAACTCCAAAAGATAACTGTATTTAAACATTATTCAAGGTCACACTTTTATGTTAATGCTTTATTTCAGTTAGTCACATTCCATGCAAGTTACACCTCACTACTAGCTCCCCATATTTATACAACCAATTCAAACCTTTTTTTACATCCAGAGATGTTCAAACCCATTAATTCTTTATTAATATTTTCATCTCCTGTTCGCTCATTCCATTAGGTCTTGGGCATTCCTTTGGACCATATTAGATGGTAACAGGGACAATCCTTGGAACTTTGACATGTTTTAAGGCTTGGTAAATACTGGAGAGAGGTACTGAACTGGAGTTGGGGAGTGAGGCCCTCTAGATTTCAAAAGAATCTTATCAAAGATCTCCCCTATCAAAATTTTTAAAATACTTTTATATTAAAATATAAGATTTTTCTTCAGAAATCCAGGTCATAATCCTAGCTAGAAGCTTCAGATCGCTCCCACTTTTGTTCTTTGATCAGCTGTCAAGGCAGATCTGACCTGCAAAGTACAAACTCCCTTCTTAATACTAGGAGATCATAAGAAGCAAGTGTAGGAACAGAAACCAAAATAATTGCGGATGCTGTAAATCAGAAACAAAAACAGAAGAAGTTGCTGGAAATGCTCAGCAGGTCTGGCAGCTTCTGTGAAGAGAAATCAGTGTCAACATTTCTGGTCTGGTGACCCTTCCTCAGAACTCAGGAATAGCCCTATTGGCCTATCAAGGCAACATTGTTCCTGTTTCATCATTTAATAAGATTATGGCTGACGTGACTGACCCCCTTAAATCCACTTTCTTGCCTGCCCCATATAATCTTGACTCCTTTGGGAATCATCAATCTGTCTAGTTCAGTCTTGATTTTGAAGAAGACCTTGCTGCCAGATCGTGTCCATTTATCCTGAGGGCCTGATTTGGGGTGGATGTAGATTTTGCCTGCCCTGTCTCTCTCCCCACTGTCAACTCCCCCGCTTCCCATTCCTATCAGCCATTCTGGACACAGAAGTGGAAAACTAAGATCTAGCATATCCACATCCTTGTCTAGAGCTCAAGCCCTTTTTTCAAAAAAGTTGCTTTTTACAGAAGTGAATTGCTAATCATCACAACACCAATACGAATGTACCTCCTGACATAAATTGAACTGAGTTACCTGTGTGTGTGGTAAAAGTCGAATTAACAAAGTACAGCAGGGAACTCTACGTTGATGATTGAACGATGGTGCATTAAGAGGAGTCTGTTCTTTTGATGGCATCCCTTGTTTCAATTTGAGTTGGAATCCTCCAACATTTAACTCTCCATTTTCATTGAACAAGGAAACCACGGTGTTGCCTGAAAACCAAAGCAGTAATCAAACAAATAGTTGTCAGAATATTGTAGGTTGTGTATTTCCCTTGCAGTTACAGCATATGCTTGTTTAATAGTCAGAATTATCTGTATTTGATCAGATTAAAAGAAACGTTATGGCTGCAAATAACAATGTGCTATAATTCTAATCAAAGAAATACAGCTCTCTATCCACTCCCGAACACCCCAGATGTCCTCTTATTTTAAGGACCGCAACTTCCCCCTTTGGTGGTTGAAAATATTCTTGACTGCATCTCTTGCGTTTCCCGCACCTCTGCCCTCACATCCCCTCCCCCCAACAAAAACAAAGATAGAATTCCCCTTGTCCTCACATATCACCCCACTAACTTCCGTCTCCAACGTATCATTCTCCACCACTTCCACCACCTACAATCCAACCCCACAACCAAAGATATATTTCCCTCCCAACCCCTATCTGCCTTTCGTAGGGACACTCTCCCCACGACTCCCTTGTCCACTCCACACTTCCCAGTACACCTTCCCCCACACCTCCATTTAAGGCACCAAACAAACCTTCCACATCAGAGTGAGGTTCACCTGCACATCTGTCAATGTGGTCTATTGCATCCGCTGGTCCCGATGTGGCCTCCTCCACATTGGTAAGTCCAAGCGGAGGCTTGGAGACTGCTTTGTACAGCACCTGTGCTGTGTTCGTGACAAATGACAACACCTTCTGGTTGTGAACCATGAACTGTTCCCGCACCCAATTCCCCCTCCCACTCCCTGGGTGACATGTCCATCCTGGACCTCCTCCAGTGTCACAATGACGCCACCCAGAAACTGGAGGAGCAGCACCTCATATTCCGCTTCAGGAGCCTACAGCCAAATGGCCTAAATGTGGATTTTAAAAATCTCCCCACTCCCAGCCTCATCCCATGACCAACCCTCCCTCTCATCCCCGCCTCCTTGATCTGACACAACCTATCCATCTTCTCTCTCACCTATCTGCTCCTCCCACCTACCTTCCCCAGCCCCACCCCTCCTCTCTATTTATTTCTGAGCTCCCTTCCCTTCCCCTATTTCTGAAGAAGGGTCCCGACCCGAAACATCAACTTTCCTGCTCCTCAGATGCTGCCTGGCCTGCTGTGTTCCTCCAGCTCTATACTGTGTTATCTCTGACTCCAGCATCGGCAGTTCTTACTATCTCTATACAGAGCCATGATATTTGTAAATGCCCATCTTTTTAACTGATTATTTCTTGTGTAAGTCTTCCTGAACAATACCCACTCAAGAGGACAGGTTGCCTTTTCTTAGGACTGGCATAATGCTGCATTCTACAGATTACAAACAGATAAAAAAATGAGTTTGGAAACTTGACCTTTGATGAATTATGACTTGAATCTAAATCATACCAGTTGTGGTAGACAGCCTTGTAACTGCAACAAAATGATCACCATGATATAGTGTCTTTGAGCTGACTTTTATGCATGGGGTTACTGGGTTTTGTGCTGCTTGCCAGAATGCCAGTTCCCTGCTCCACTGTATGTGCGTGTCTATTGTTCGAGAACAAACGGAGTTTTCCAATCACCTTCCAAGTTCCTGGAGGCATTGGGAAACAGTATCACTGCCTGGAGGTTGCTCCCAGTGGTCTCCATGACTTCAGATGCAGCTGCAGGTCATCCCACAGAACAGCTCCCCAGTGGATTTCCATGCTGAGGCCATTTTAAAATTTGAAGTTAAAGTTGAGGAGAGGGTGCTTCTATCTTGTGGTGTCCTTGTCACTTACCTGGAAGGGCAGTCTGGTGTTTCTTCCGTATTCGAAAGCTTCCTATTGGGACTTAGTTTTGAGAGGTTGGCTGCTGACCTTCATTTGAACACCAAGGCTCCCTCTGGCTGGTAATTGGCTATGTTTTAGAAAATGAGAACAGGTAACTGCCCCACAGTATGCTGAACCCCATATGAGCCTAATAGCAGGATCATGAAGACTGTGGGTAAAGTTCTGTCCATAATGCATGAAAAACCTGGATATAATCTATAAAACACCAACAGACTGACCAATCAGCCACCTTGTGGAAATTAACTCAACAATTCTCTTTCTCCATTAATGAGCTAGAAATGGGTTCACTGGTTTTAATAAACACCAGTTGTGACACACTTAATCAATGATATTTAGTGAAAGTCTAGAAGCTTATTTGTTACTAAGCTTACTTAAAAGGACAGACCCTTTAATGCAAACATTAAAGTGCTAGAATCTCACACAGTGTCACCACATTTCAGAAGCTATAAAGGAGACAGCCAGCAGTCAATATGTGTTAGTGGCATGGTAGTGTACTTTGAAGATCTTAGAACAGCCATTAAACACCCCAGCTTTTCAGGTAAAGAAAAGGAAGAGTTTCTCAATCTAAGTGCAGCTAGCCAGCCAACATTGAAAGGAACTGTAACAAATTAGAACAAATGGTTGTAACACAGAGGTATGCTCGAATAGAGCAGGTGTATTAATCACCCACCCCAAGAGGTAGAAGCAGTTTATTTAAATCAGTTTTGGAAAAGCAAAGGGCATGCTTGCAATCATATCCACACAAATTTTTACAATGCCAATTCCTAGATGATCCTTCATGCCCCTGCAAAAGTAAAGTAAAAGTTGTTCTATGATTGAAGGATGTTTTTAAACTTCAACACTTGTGGTTTGGCAAGGGACTTTTGAGTTTCCTATTAAGCAAAATTATGGGAATTTATGAGTAGAAATGACCATCCCCCATGCTACAGTACAAACTCGTGAAATGCTCAGATCAGCTTCCATGTAGTAAGCTATTAAGCTTAAACATTTGTTAAAATATCTTAGGGATGAATGAGATAATAATGTGGTCAACAGGAATTTCTAATCTTTGGTTAAGTATATCTTTCCATATTACAATTCACTCTGTTAAAACAAAAATCTCCTTATTTTGTTTACATTATTTTCAACTGAGTAAAATATTAACCTAATTTAGAAATTTATTTTCACTTACCAATAATGACCAGGTCACCTGTATCAAAATCGATTGTGTACACTCTAAGCAAAACCAACACATTGGGATCTAGTGTTTCTTTGCCCTTCACATTTATAGTCATGCAGTAATGGAACTCTGGGCACCTTGCTGGGCTATTGAGTACTGGGAAAGCCAAGATATCAGGGAGGTCACTGTGGCCTGAATGCACTATTCGTCCAATCACCTTGAAAAGGAAAATGAAGAAAATGTCAAAACTTCATGGGATCATGCCAATGGATCCAAGCTCACTCTCTCACTGTCTCCACCTTCTTATCTCATAAAGAAACTCATACTGAACTAAGGTTCTGCAGAAACTGCTTTTCTTCCAATAGCTCACCCCCATGTCAAACTTCATATCCTAATCAACCATGCGGTATGTTATGGCTGAGTCCAACCCTGTCCAACCCTGAACATCTTCACACTTGCACTTCCAATACTGAATACATTAGTGCTCATGAGTGTGGTATCAATTTAGAGGTATTGAGGTCAACTGTAGAACCGCAGAGAGTAAGGAGCAAACAGGACTATCATTACTCAATGGAGAGTCAATGACGTCAACTGGATGTCAAAGTCATTTTTCTGTAACTAAATTGAAAACTGAATGCTGGAGCAGACCACTACACAGAATAAGAAAAAACCAGACCACCGTTCCTTAATGGGATCATTGAAAGTAGCTGTAGGAAGATAACCAGTAACTTGATGCTGTTTGTGTAGTAAGATAAGTGTAATTGCTCTCACATAGTATTGCTAATCTTCTCCAATAACATTTTCATGTCCCAATAATTGACCCAACCTTTTCCTGCAATCTGTGGACATTCTTCCACATCTCCCACTTCTCTGGAGCCCATTAGCAATGCTGACATTATGACACATTACTGTTTGAAGGCAAAAAGAGGCCCAACCATCAGAACGACTTGGGCCTTTTAGGGTGATATCATTGGAATCACTCTGTTCGCTGCTCACCAAAGGTGAAAATTAACCTGAGGTTTTGCAAGTACATCCCATTCATTCACTCATTATATCAATATTCAAGAGATAGTAGGAACTGCAGATGCTGGAGAAGCCGAGACAACAAGGTGCAGGGCTGGATGAACACAGCAGGCCAAGCAGCATCATAGGAGCAGAAAGGCTGACGTTTCGGGCCTAGACCCTTCATCAGAAAAGG